GGATGGCCGAATTGTTAGCACGTGCGCGGTGATGATGAAATATATTTTAGTTAAGTAACTATGTCTAGATAATTTCCTTCGACACCCTAACTTGCTTCGAGAATTTTCGTTTCGCTCTCTTGAGGCCCACGTGGTTCGAAGTTATTTGAAATAGATTTCTTATTTGGGGTTTAGAGAGAGAGAGAGAAATGGGTTTAACGTCCACTCGACACAAACTAGGTCATTTCGGGACTAACATATGGTTTAATTTTATTTCAATAATTCGCTTGCGCGTAGGGGTCTTTAGCAGTGGGAGGAAACCGGAGGACCCGGAGAAAACCCACGAGGTTGGATTGGGGTTTAGAGCGAAACCATTATACAATTTCCAACACAGACCTAGTGATTTAAATATATTAACTATACTATTACTTATCACAGGTAACTTTTAATGAAACTACAAATTGATATATATGCATTAATATATCAACTGAAAAATATGTTTTTATTTAAGATGTATGTAGACGAGTGTGTGGTCGTGTGTGTGTGTGTGTGTGTGTGTGTTGGGGAGGGGCGTGGGTGGGCGTATAGTTATATATTTAACTTTTACACTGTAAATATACTGTGAAATTATTCGTATAGAATGAAAATATAATTATGTATTTTGTATATTGTGTGAATAAATATATCTACAATAAAAAAAAAAGCATTGTCATTAAGTCAACTGGCGTGGTTTCGAATCCCCGGTAGTACGTGACAAGGAGTAGTGTTGCCTGTCCAAAATCGTGGGTTTTATCCGGGTCATCCGGTTTCCTCCCACTGCTAAAGACCGCTACGCGCAAGCGAATTATAGAAATAAAATTAAACTATATGACCTAAACTGTGTCGAGTAGACGTTAAACCCCATTTCTCTCCCTCTCTCTTTATATGAAATATATAAATTGCGATCTCTCCCCCTCTAATCGGACATTCATATTTGCTGACAGGTGAGCTCGCCAACGAGGGTGGCCCTTTTTTGTAAATAGGCCTTTATGGCTGATAAATACAAATCGTAGATTGAACAGAGATTTGATTATTTTGCCCTTAATACAAAAGTTAATATTATATAGTATTTGAGTTTTCCTATAAAAGTGGTCAGTCCGACCCGGTACCCCGCAAGCGGCATTAATATCGTTAAATGACTTTGTTTACTAAAGCTAAAATAGTTGTCCTTATTTTCCTGGGAGCCACGGTGTCTAAGTGGGTAAGACGCTGGCTCGCTAGTCTGAGGTTCTTGTGTTCGATCCCTGCATTGGCCAAGAAAGTTCATCGTGTTTTCCGACTTGCTTACCTTTGTCAGTCATGCAGGATGGAGGTCCTGCCAAGGACAGCTGTGGGTGGGACGAAAAACGGAGGTCCCGTGTATACACTGGCGTGCACGTAAAGGATCCCTTGGCAGTTTGAATTCGATATAAGAGTAGGCCTAGTGCCGCTGTCCGGGCAAAGTTTCCCTCATAGAACACTGTCTGACGTATGTCCGTCTTCATTAGCCCAGTAGGAGCAACACAATGGGACGTTAAAAACATTTCATTTCCTTAAACATATATATGTAAGAGCTAAATCCGCCTATTCCAAATTATTATTATCTAAATTATTAATTAGACATTAATTAACTTATCCAGACCATAATCAACCCTTGATGGCATCGCTAGCCTGCAATTTTTATTGGATTAGGTTCCGATTTGCTGTTCGACTTCCATTCATAATTGAATTAAAAAAAATAAATGGATAATTGAGACTATCTGTTTTATCCTACCGACTTTAGTAATGATGATCGAGGTTAGCTACAATATTCAATCATGACTAAAATCTCTGTTCAGAGTGGGTCAATTTGACTGAAATTTTCAGCAAATTCACTTTACATTATCTAGTTTGTTTTTAACTATTAAAGTGAGAACTGCCAGTTCTTTATCTAATCTCCCATAATGTATCTATAATTGTCAAATAGAAATGAAAGTCTATAGTATTCAGGGGGGTTGGATGGCTGAATGGTTAGCGTACGCGCGCTGTATCATAAAGTCTGTCATTGAGTCGACTGGCGTGGTTTCGAATCCCCGGTTGTACGTGACAAGGAGTAGGGTCGCCTGTCCAACCTCGTGGGTTTTCTCCGGGTCCTCCGGTTTCCTCCCACTGCTAAAGACCCCTACGCGCAAGCGAATTATTGAAATAAAATTAAACCATATGTTAGTCCCGAAATGACCTAGTTTGTGTCGAGTGGACGTTAAACCCCATTTCTCTCTCTCTCTCTCTCTCTCTCTCTCTCTCTATAGTATTCAACAGAATTTTGGGGACCTGTAGGAAATAATGGCCCCAATATTTTACAGTTTCGGTAGTGCAAATCCTATAATTTATCGTACGTTTTTTGCTAAAATGCCTAAAAGAAAAAAATAAAGTATTCTATAGTTTTTATACTGTTTTCTGTAGTAAATTCTACAGTTATGTTTTTGTTTTTAATCAGGTTTTGAGAACAGACTGCACAGTTGTCTTAAGTTGTTATAATGTACATATAGATTGAATTTAAAAATTTAAAATTCAGCCAATGAAAAAACACTTCCAGCAACAGAAATTTAACGGACCGTTAACGAACGACACGTTAGCAAAATAACTTAGTTTAAAGCAACTGGCCGACAGAAAAACAAGTACGGTACTTAAACATACATTATGCAAGAGCTAAATCTGCCTATTGCAGGTCTTTCTTTAGGTCTGAAATGTTATCTAAATTATTAATTAGACAGACCATAATCAACTCTCGATGGCATCGCTACCCTGCGATGTTTATTGGATTAGGTTCCTGTTCGACTTCCATTCATAATTAAATAAAAAAATAGATAATCGAGACTATGTTTTTTATCCTACCGATTTTAGTAATGATGATCGAGGTTAGCCCCAATATTCAATCGCTAAAATTTCGGTTCTTAGTGAATCAATTTTTTAGTAAATTCCCTTTACATTATCTAGTTTTAAACTATTATCGTGAGAACTGCCAGCTCTTTATCTGATATCCCATAATATATCTTTAACTTATGGATATTAAAGTCTTACCATGCAGGGAGACCTCCCCCCCCCCCCCTGACCAATTTGATTAATTTTTATACGTATTTCCTTTATTCTCGGAGAAAAGGTAATCTCCTGACAGACTTACCCTTAATTGATTGATAATAAAGTTTGATAATGAACTGAGCCTCCATAAGTTTTTATTATTATTTCCGTTTTCTCTTGGGCAGTGTGAAGTTAGCTCGATTTTCATTTTTCGTTTTTCGATATTGGTGAATATCAAAAAAACAAGGAGAAAGAGCTTTTTTTATGTGAATCCACTGCTCAGGCATCCTCATTTATAATATCTTTAGTTCGTTTTAGAATACTTATTTAATCAAATATGGTTTGGAGACATTCTGTAGATCCATCTAAGAGAGAGAGAGAGATAGAGGGGTGGTCAACGTCATTTCTAGGTCATTTCGGGATCAACCTATGGTTCAATTTTATTTCAATTGGGGTCTTTAACAGATGTGGGATGAAAGCAGAGGACCCTGAGAAACCCCACGAGATTGGACAGGCGACCCTACTCCTTGTCACGTACAACCAGGGAATTGAAACCACGACAGATGACTCAATGACAGACTGTATGATACAGCGCGCACGTGCTAACTATTCGGCCATCCAACCACCCGTGTTCCAGGAAAAACTAACCGCCTGAACCGATTGACACTTAATTGTTATATGTCACAACTTTTTAATGAAGGGCAAATCACAATTTTGATAACAGCTATATCAGGGAAAGCGCCAAGCACCCCAACAGGTTCACGCTGGATTGTTAGATCAACAAACATTTCCGACATACTCATACATTTCCGACATCTTTCCATTCGTCTTTATCGGTGTGTGTGTGGGGGGGGGGGGCAGGATCTTTGTAAAGCAGTTTATCGGGACAGCTGTCTAGTCGTTCGGATAGGATAAAAAAAACTGAGGACCAGTGTACACTTTGGCGTGCACGTAAAAGGTCCCTTAACAGTTGGAATTCGATATATAAGAGTAGGCCATAGCGCCGCTGTTCAAGAAAATACATTTAAAATAATGAACACTGTATGTCTTAGTGCAAAACTGAGGTGCTTTGAATACAAATATCTCCATAGGATTATATTCACAAATGATAAATTATTCAAAATTAGAAAAGTAGATAACACACTCTGCACGCACTTTCTGCGAATCTAATACAGAAAATGTAGAACATCTCTTTGTTTTCAGCCCATTTTCACAAATAATATGGAATCATCTTCGTTCTATTTTAGATCGCAGCAATATAAAGATATATATATAAAAACACATATCAAACCAGATTATATAAATAATACTGAATGGATCTTCATTAATCATGTATTTCAATGTATATCGCGCTACACTACGAAACAAAATACTCAATATTAATAAGCATGGAAGCTTTTTAGTAGAACATGCTAAATTGGAGATTGGTATATCTCCAGAATTATACCTAAATAAATGGAAATATCTTTTTAAGACTTCATCCATACCGAATCCCCATTGATGTATTTATGTACTTAGATCTGTGTATAGTAGGAACCCTTTATACAGAACAATCTATTTTATCTTTACGATATAAACATGTGCTTGTAAATATTGACGTTGTAAATAATGACGTAAATAAAAGTGTATTTAAGAAAAGAAAAAAATTCCCTCATAGCACACAGTATGGCGTATTTCCGACTTCGTGAACCCATTCGGAACAGGGCGTTAGACCCCATTTCATATCTTTTTAATGCTGATTGATTATGTGTTTGGTTCGTAATTGATATTCATAAAAAATAATTAATTATATTTTTGGAGGTAATATTGAACAGGGAATAAGTTTGATTTTTTTAAAAATGATTGATTAACATTGATTTGCTGGACGCCTCGGGAGAGAAACCGGTCCCAAACCCGTGATTTTTTGGTATAAATAACGGACGCAAAGAATAATGTTACTATTACCTTTTTTAACCGCATTTACTAAGGTACTCACCAGGTAAGAAAAATATTATTATTTACAAAAAAACTTTTAGGTACTCACCAGGTGAGAAATATATTATTATTTACAAAAAACTTTAAGGCTAATGTTTCGTTTCTTAATTATTTATTCATATATTTACGGAAGCTCACATACGAACTACTTTTTGTTTTTCGATTTCCTATTTCTATTTTTAATTTTTTATTTTGAAAAATAATTTCTAATTTCTATTTTTAATTTTGGATTTTGTAGATTAATTTTTAATTTTGTAAATTAATTTTTAATTTTGTAAATTAATTTTTAATTTTGTAAATTAATTTTTAATTTTGTAAATTAATTTTTAATTTTGTAAATTAATTTTTAATTTTGTAAATTAATTTCTAATTTTGTAAATTAATTTTTAATTTTGTAAATTAATTTTTAATTTGTAAATTAACAACCGTCTGTTATCAACGAAATGGGACCACTGAATAAAATAAAATGAAATGAAATGGGGTTTGACGTCCTATTTTTCTGCTGCGACTGGGCTAATGAAGACGGGCTTACGCAATACAATGTGCTATGAGGGAAATTTTGCCCGCGCAGCGGCGCTACGGCTTACTCTTGTATCGAATTTCAACTGCTAAGGGTCTTTTACCTGGACGCCAATGTGTGGGCCTTCGAGTTTTCGTCGCATGCGAACGACTCAACAGCTGTCTTTGTTAGGTCCCCCGTCCTGCACCATTTACAAGGCGGGGGGGGGGGGGGCACGCCTGAAAATACCTGCATGCCAAAGTGTGAGCCTTCGAGTGTTCGTCGCATGCGAACGACTCAACAGCTGTCTTCGTTAGGTCCTCCGCCCTGCACCATTTAGAAGGGGAAATCACGCCTGAAAATACCGATGAACATTCTCGGCCGAGAGTTTTTTAATCGCATAGCCACCGTGGGTCCCATGGCGACAGGGAAATGAAGTGTGGTTTAACGTCCTACTGTTCTGCTTCGACTGGACTAATGATGACGGACATACGCCGTACAGTGTACTATGAAGGAAATTTTATCCCGATAGTGACGCTACAGCCTAAACTTATATCGAATTCCAACTGCGAAGAGATCTTTGACATGCACTCCAATGTGTACACGAGACCTCAATTTTTTGTCCCATCGCAACTACTACCAGTAAGTGAGAGAGAGAGAGAGAGAGAGAGAGAGAGCGAGAGGGATGGGTTTAACGTCCACTCGACACAAACTAGGTCATTTCGGGACTAACTTATTATTTAATTTCATTTCAATAATTCGCTTGCGCGTAGGGGTCTTTTGCAGTGGGAGGAAACCGGAAGACCCGGAGAAAACCAACAACGCGGTTGGACAAGATGTAAGTGAACCGGGGCTGTCTGATGGTTCTCAAAACAAATTTACAAAATTAGAAATTATTTTACAAAATCAGAAATTATTTTACAAAATTAGAAATTATTTTACAAAATTAGAAATAATTTAACAAAATTAGAAATTATTTTACAAAATTAGAAATTATTGTACAAAATTGAAAATTATTGTACAAAATTGAAAATTATTGTACAAAATTGAAAATTATTGTACAAAATTGAAAATTATTGTACAAAATCGAAAATTAAAAATAGAAATTCGAAATTATTTTTTTTCAAAATTAAAAATTGAAAAGAAATAAACAAAAATAGTTCGTATTTGAGCTTCCGTATATATTCAAGTATATTATCATATATTAAATTAAGTTAAATCGTTTAATCCGAAAATAAAAAATATAAAGATTAGGACATGATTAAATAAATTATTAACTGCTAAATTAAAGATTATTATGGGGGACGAGATAACTAGTTGGCAGTTCTCACTATAATAGTTAACAGGTCACAATATCAATTAAAGATACATTATGGGAGACGAGATAACGAGTTGGCAGTTCTCACTATAATAGTTAAAAACTAGATAATGTAAAGCCAATTGGCTGAAAATTTCAGTCAAATTGATCCACTACGAACCGATAATTAAGCGATTGAAATTTCTGCCTAGCCTTGATCATCATTACTAAAGTCATTACGATAAAACGCATAATCTCGATTATTCATTTATTGATTTAATCGTGAAGGAAAGTTATGCAGTTTTATCGTGGATTTCAGTTTTGTAATCGTCCATATTTATGTCTTTTTATCAATGTAAATGTGTTTCTTTCAGAATTCTCAAAATGGTATCCAGCGTCATCGCCTTTCTCGCCCTTGTTTCCGTAGCTGCTGCCGTTCCTTACGGTGGTATGATGGGATACGGTATGGGCGGCATGGGATATGGTATGGGCGGCATGGGATATGGTATGGGCGGCATGGGATATGGCATGGGCGGCATGGGATATGGTCTCGGCGGAATGGGATATGGTATGGGCGGCATGGGATATGGTCTCGGCGGAATGGGATATGGTATGGGCGGCATGGGATATGGCATGGGATTAGGCGGCATGGGATATGGAGGAATGGGTATGATGAAAGGATATGGTATGGGCGGCATGGGAATGGGTTTAGGTAAAATGTATGGTAAGTTTCAAAACATCTTTGTATTTTTCATTGTGAAATTATTGAACCCATTATGGAATTCTTCGGGTGCGCACGTAAAATATCCCTAGATAGTTGAAATTCGAGTAGACTAGGCCGTAGCGCACTGTACCGCATATGCCCGTCTTCATAAGCCCAGTTAAGAGCAGACGAGTCGGACGTTAAACCCCCTTTCATTTTAATGTCTTGTTTTAATTGTCATAATATAAAATAACACAGTGAGTATTCGGGCAGGTTTTGTCAAATTATCTAACGCTTTATACAGCGAATCATGGTTCGATCGCATGGTTTGTAAAAATATATCACAATGCCGTTGAACACTATCACAATTTTTGACGCACTCATCTAAAATATCCCCCATCACACCCCTTGAACTAAAACGCAGGTAATATAACAACTCTTCCAGATCCTAGTGTAGTAAAGACAAGTAAAACGAAATTTTGAACTATATAAAACGAAACGAAATAGTATCTGTGTTTTAATCCGATTGACCAAATATATTTTTCAGGTAAATAAGAAGTTACAGCCACCACTCTAAGGACTGGATTTGATGACGGACCGGCAACGTTTCAAGACATGAGCTATACACGTGTATTTTGTTCAACATACTATATATATATATATATATATATATATATGTATAATATTTTTAGATTAAATAGTTTTTCATGATATCATATTGTTTGTTATTCATTTTTCGTTTTACCATAAGGTCTGTCATTGAGTCAACTGGCGTGGTTTCGATTCCCCGGTTGTACGTGAGAAGGTGTAGGGTCGCATGTCCAATCTCGTGGATTTTCCCCGAGTTATCAGATTCCCTCCCACTGCCAAAGACCCCTACGCGCAAGCCAATTATTGAAATAAAATTGAACTATATGATTTTCCCGAAATAACCTTGTTTAACGTTGAGTGGACGTTACCCCCCCCCCCCCCTCTCTCTCTCTCTCTCTCTCTTTAGATTTTCCTCCAACTTATCCAAGTCAGGTCCTAGTCGTGACAGATCGCATTGTGTGGCCTTATAAATTGAAAATGAAATGAAATGATATGGGGTTTAACGACCTACTGTTCTGCTCCGACTGGGCTAATGAAGACAGACATATGCCATGCAGTGTGCGATGAGGGATATTTTGCCAGGGCAGCGACACTGACCTACTCCAACTGCCAAGGGATCTTTTACATGCACGCCAACGTGTACACGGGACCTTGGTTGTTTGTCCCATCCGAACGACTGGACACCTGCCCTTTGTCAGGTCCTCCGTCCTGCAACGCTGACAAGGAGAAACCACGTGGGAAAATCCCGATGAACTTTCAGGGATGGAACCTTATAAATTGACCTCTGGGAAACAAGTGCTTGTCATGCAAAATACCCCCATATTTTGGAATAGATGGACGGAGAACTGGAAAAAACAAATGGTCTCACTATCTCTTTATCCCAATGCCTCAGATCTAGAAAAATATGTTACAAACAAGGTTTTTCGGAAGGGGGTGGGGGGCTGTTGGGAGGGTTAGTCCTTTCATGACTCCAATGCTACACGCCACATTTGAAATAAAATAAGGTTTAAGTATTCGGCAAAGGGGATAACTCCAGAACGGAAGGTTGCAGTAAGCCTGATATGGACACAGCTCACCAAATATATCTAAGCCGTCACCAACGAATGTAGGGCGAAAGCTATTTTTAGTCTTTCTCTCCCTTTCCCTTTTCCCCTTTTGCATTGCGACTTTTCTTTCCTTTTTGGTGTAGAATCGAAGAAAAGGGTTTGAAAATACATTTTCTGTCAGGTTTTGGTGAATATTCATGATTTTGAGACGGAAGGATACAAGAGTTGAGAGGTTGGTTAGGTTGAAATGTGGGGTCAAAAATTGCATGTTTACTTGTCTCTACTTCCAGCTTATGTATCTCAAGTTTTCCATGGTCAACCTCAGACGTGCTTTTGTTCAAGAGGTTGCCACATGTTGCTCCATCTGTGGTAGAAAGCGTTCTACCCAACAAAAATTTGGGCAAAAGTTAGAGTCGGTCTAAGAGACGAGAATTAACATTAAAGTCAATGGGCAAATCTTTAGTGATCTGTGGCCATATTGATAGGGTTCGTCGTCTCATAAATCGAATGCTTTACACCACATCTGTTAACTGCTGTGACTTTATAAAATTTTCGGGTAAGCGGGATTAACTCTATAACAAAAAGCTCCGGACGGCAGATTACCAATAGGATTCGTCCTCTCATGACCCCATTGCTTTTAGCCAAACTTAAACAAATGTATGTTAACAAATACAGCCTGTATTGAAATGATCAAGTTTTCGGGAAAAGGGGCATAATGCCAAAAGTTAAGGTCTTATTTTCAGGATATTCGAACTCGTCCATGATTATGGAGAAGAGAGAAATGAGATTTCACGTCCACTAAACACAAACTAGGTCATTTCGGGACTAACATATGGTTCAAGTTTATTTCAATAATTTGCATGTCCGTAGTGGTCTTTAGTAGTGGGAAGAAACCGGAGGACTGGGAGAAATCCAACGAGGTTGGACAGGCGACCCGACTTCTTGTCACTTTCAACCGGGGAATCGAAACCACGCCAGTTAACTCAATGACATACCTTATGATACAGCCCGCACACGCTAACTCTTCAGCCACCCCCAACCCCCAACCACGAATATGGTGCACCGGTAATATATCTGATTGATATTTTAAAAACAAAAACAAGCGACCTCTAGAGGCTCCACAAACTAGAAACGCAGTTTTTGGTATGATCCGAGATCTTTGAGATATAAGTTTTATCAAAATCGAATACAAATTGTGGTCTCTAGAGGGCCGACAAGTTTTAAAAAAAAATATATGAAAAATTACTCTGGTGAAATGTCGCAAAACTAAATTAAATTAAAAGTTAATGGGTGAAAATTAAGATTGATTGGAAAAACTCAATTGAATTATTTTTCACATCCCTGATCAGAAAACCATAGCCTCTTACAATTTGTATTTCATTTGTGCACCAACCGGACCAATAAAGACAGTATGCTATGAGGGAAACATACGTCACATAGTGTGCTGTGGGGGGGAAACATACGCCACACAGTGTGCTATGGGGGGAAACATACGCCACACAGTGTGCTGCGAGGGAAATATATGCCATTCAGTGTGTTATGGGCGAAACATACGCCACACAGTGTGCTATGAGGGAAACATACGTCACATAGTGTGCTGTGGGGGAAACATACGCCACACAGTGTGCTGTGGGGAGAAACATACGCCACACAGTGTGCTGCGTGGGAAATATTTGCCATTCAGTGTGTTATGGGTGAAACATACGCCACACAGTGTGCTATGAGGGAAATACGTCACATAGTGTGCTGTGGGGGAAACATACGCCACACAGTGTGCTGTGGGGAGAAACATACGCCACACAGTGTGCTGCGAGGGAAATATATGCCATTCAGTGTGTTATGGGCGAAACATACGCCACACAGTGTGCTATGAGGGAAACATACGTCACATAGTGTGATGTGGGGGAAACATACGCCACACAGTGTGCTGTGGGGGGGAAACATACGCCACACAGTGTGCTATGAGGGAAACATACGTCACATAGTGTGCTGTGGGGGAAACATACGCCACACAGTGTGCTTTGGGGAGAAACATACGCCACACAGTGTGCTGAGAGGGAAATATACGCCATTCAGTGTGTTATTAGGGAAACATATGCCACATAGTGTGCTGTGGGCGAAACATACGCCACACAGTGTGCTATGAGGGAAACATACGCCACATTATGTGCTGTGTGGGGGGGGGGGCATACGGTACACAGTGTGCTGTAAGGGAAACATACGCCACACAGTGTGCAAGGAGGGAAACATACGCCACACAGTGTGCTATGAGGGATACATATGCAACATAGTGTGCTATGAGGTAAACATACACTACACAGTGTGCTGCAAGGGACACATACGCCACAAGGGTACTATGAGGGAAACATACGCTTCACAGTGCTTGGGAAACATACGCCACACAGTGTGCTGCGAGGGAAACATACCACATAGTGTGCAGTGGGGGAAACATATGCCAAATAGTGTGCTGTGGGGGGAAACATATGCCACATAGTGTACTATGGGGGAAACATATGGCACAAAGTGTGGTGTGGGGGAAACATGTGCCACATAGTGTTTTAGATATGTTTATTTAATTGTTTGACGGGTGTAAGCTCTGTTCCCCAGACATAGGTCAAACGCTCATATAACTGACAAACGTGATATTAGGTATTCTATTTGGTTATTTCATAAAAAATAATTAATTATATTTCTGGAGGTAATATTGAACAGGGAATAAGTTTAATTTTTTAAAAAAATGATTGATTTGTTTTGACATATTTGTCAGTAAAATCCACTTAAAATTGATTGGTTACACGAATTAGCTGAACGCCTCGGGAGAGAAACCGATCCCACACGCGTGATTTTTTTGTATAAATGACCAACGCACAGAACAGTGTTACTATTACCTTTTTTTGCCGCATTTACTAAGGTTCTCACCAGGTAAGAAAAATATAATTATTTACAAAAAACTTTTAGTTACTCACCAGGTTATGTTTTGTTTCTTTTTGTATTCATAAATTCATATATATTAAATTAAGTTAAAAATATAAAGATTGGGGCATGATTAAATTATTAACTGCTAAATTAAAGATACATTATGGGGGACGAGATAACGAGTTGGCTGTTCTCACTATAATAGTTAACAGGTCACAATATCAATTAAAGATACATTATGGGAGATTAGATAACGAGTTGGCAGTTCTCACTATAATAGTTAACAGGTCACAATATCAATTAAAGATACATTATGGGAGATTAGATAACGAATTGCCTGTTCTCACTATAATAGTTAAAAACTAAATAATGTAAAGGCAATTTGCTGAAAATTGCAGTCAAATTGATTCACGGTGAATCGAGAATTAAACGATTGAAATTTCCGCCTAGCCTCGATAAGTTAACAGGTCACAATATCAATTAAAGATACATTATGGATGACGAGATAACGAATTGCCTGTTCTCACTATAATAGTTAAAAACTAGATAATGTAAAGGCAATTTGCTGAAAATTGCAGTCAAATTGATCCACGGTGAACCGAGAATTAAACAATTGAAATTTCCGCCTAGCCTCGATAAGTTAACAGGTCACTGTAATAGTTAAAAACTAGATAATGTAAAGGCAATTTGCTAAAAAAATTTCATTCAAATTGATCCACGGTGAACCGAGAATTAAGCGATTGAAATTTCCGCCTAGCCTCAATCATCTTTACTAAAGTCAGTACTATAAAACGCACAGTCTCGATTATCCATTTATTGATTTAATCGCGAAGGAAAGTTATACACTAAATCGGGTCATAACCCAGTAAACCTCACAGGATAGCGATGCCATCGAGAGTTGATTATGGTACGGATACGTTAATTAATGTCTAATTGATAATTAAGATAACATTTCAGGCCTAACGAAATACTTGCAATAGACAGATTTAGCTCTTGGATAATGTAGGATTAATTTATCCTTTATTGGATAGTTTTGAGTGTTTGTGTGCATATTTTTAGGAGATGGAGTATAGCGTCGCATTTCTTGCTTTATCATGGATTTCAGGTTTGTAATCGTCGATATTGATGGCTTTTTATAAATGTAAATTTATTTTCTTCAGAATTCTCAAAATGGTATCCAGCGTGCTTGCCGTTCTCGCCCTTGTTTCCGTAGCTGCTGCCATTCCTTACGGTGGTATAGGAATGATGGGATATGGTATGGGCGGAATGGGATATGGTCTAGGTGGCATGGGATATGGTCTCGGCGGCATGGGATATGGTCTCGGTGGCATGGGATACGGTCTCGGCGGCATGGGATATGGTCTCGGCGGCATGGGATATGGTCTCGGCGGAATGGGATATGGTCTCGGTGGCATGGGATATGGCATGGGATATGGACATGGTTTAGGAATGGGTATGAAGGGATATGGCCTCGGAGGAATGTATGGTAAAATGTATGGTAAGTTTCAAAACATCTTTGTATATTTCATTGTCAAAATTATTGACCCCATTATGACATAATCTTTAAGTGGCATTTAGCGATCGGGAAACACATTAACAGAACACAATCTTGATAGGTAACAACAATCACAAGTTTTATTCTAAAAGCACGATGTTTCGTCAAGTATCGTCTTGACAATTTCAAGATAATTCTTGTTTTAATGGGCCACGGTGGCTAAGTGGGTAAGACAAGGGCTCGCTAGCCTGGAGGTCGGGTGTTCGATCCGTGAATTGGCCGAGAAAGTTCATCCAGATTTTCCAGCGTGGTCTCCCCTTGTCTGTGTTGCAGGACGGAGAGCCTGACAAGGACAGCTGTCTAGTCGTTCGGATGTGCACGTTAAAAATCCCTTGACAGTTGGAATTTGCGTAGAGTAGGCCGTAGCGCCGCTGCCCGGGCAAACTTTCCCTCATAGCACACTGTAGGGCATATGCCCGTCTTCATAAGCCCAGTTAAGAGCAGAACAGTAGGACGTTAAACCCATTTCATTTTCAGTTCTTGTATTAATTGTCATAATATATATGCGCTGATAGGCCCACGAAAATAACGAAGCGAGTATTCGGTCAGGTTTTGTCAAATTATTTAAATCGTTATACTGCGAATCATAGTTCGATCGCATGGTTTGTAAACATATATCACAATGCCGTTGAACACTATCACAATTTTTGACGCACTCAACTAAAATACAACCCCCACCCATCGCCTATTCTACGGCATTTCCAACATGAAATAGTGTATCTATTCCGATGTTTTCAATATCAATGGACACCGTGTATGTATCAGAGATTCAGTCAAATAACTGCCTTTTTCGATTTTAAAACCATTTATGAAGACTAAATATCAATCGCTTTTATATTTCCCATGGCCTACACTGACAATTTGTACTCGAAGGTCGCGTCAGGGGTCGAACGACATTGATTAATCAATCAGCCTTGGTTTTTCTAGTGGTTAACCCACAGTTCCGTTCATGGCACGCTAAGAAGTCGCCTTAACAGACTGTTTCATTAGCTTATCCACCCCTTCAACCAAAACGCCGGTAATATAACAACTCTTCCAGATCCTAGTGTAGTAAAGACAAGTAAAACGAAAGTTTGAACTATATAATCCGATTGACCAAATATATTTTTCAGGTAAATAAGAAGTTACAGCCACCAATCTAAGGACTGGATTTGATGACGGACCGGCAACGTTTCAAGGCACGAGCTATACACGTGTATTTTTATTATATATATACTAGTATATGATATTTTTAGATTAATTAGTTCTGCATGATTAAACATTGTTTGTTATTAATTTTTAGCATTGCCCGGGGATGGGGGGGCGTAGGGGGGGGGGGGGGGTTGTTGGATGGCCGAATGTTTAGCCCGTGTGCGCTGTATCAAAATGTTTGTCATTGAGTCTACTCCGCGGTGACAAGGAGTAGAGTCGCATGTCCAACCTCGTGGATTTTTCTCCGAGTTCTCCGATTCCCTCCCACTGCCAAAGACCCCTACGTGCAAGTCAATTATTGAAATAAAAGTGAACCATATGTTAGTCCCGAAATGACCTAGTTTGTGTCGAGTGGACGTTAACCCGCATCTCTCTCTCTTTCCCTCTCTCGTTCTCTCTCTCGATTTGCCTGAACAGAATAATTGAAACTTTTGGATTATCCAACTCATCCAAGTCGGGTCCTAGTCGGGACATATCTCATTGTGTGGCCTTATAAATTGGAAATGAAATGAAATGGGGTTTAACGTCCTACTGTTTTGCTGCGACTGGGCTAATGAAAACGGGCATGCGCCATGCAGTGTGCTATGAGGAAAATCTTGACCGGACAGCGGCACTATGACCTACTCTTATATCGAATTCCAACTGCCAATGGATCTTTTACGTGCACGCCAACGTGTACACAGGATCCCGGGTTTTCGTCCCATCTGATCGACTAGACAGCAGTCATTGTCAGGCCCTCCGTCCTGCAACACTGACAAGGAGAAACCACGTCGGAAAATTCTCGATGAACTTTCACGGCCAATTCAGGGATCGAACCTTATAAATTGGCCTCTTGGAAACAAGCGGTTGTCATGCAACATACGTCCATTTTTTGGAATAGAGAGACGGAGAACTGCGAAAAACAACAGATCTCACTATCTCTTTATCCCAATGCCAGAGATCTAGAACCATATGTTACAAACAAGGTTTTCGGAATGGGGGGGGGGGGGAGCAGTTCAGATCGCATATAGCTAAATATGGAGAGGGTTAGTCCTTTCATGACTCCAATGCTACACGCCACATTTTAAAATAAAAAAAGAAAATACTGTAGCCTCTCACGTTTAAGTATTCGGCAAAGGGGACAACTCCGGAACGGAAGATTGCAGTAAGTCTGGTATTGATAGGGTTCGTCGGCTCATGAATCGAATGCTTCACACCACATCTAAAACACATATGTTAAAAGCTGTGACTTCATAAAGTTTTCGGGTAAGCGAGATTAACTCTGGAACAAAAAGCTCCAGACGGCTGATTATCAATAGGATTCGTCCTCTCGTGACCCTATTGCTTTTAGCCAAATTTGAAAAACTCTATGTTAAGAAATATAACCTGTATTGAAATGACAATGTTTTCTGGAAAAAGAGGCATAATGCCAGAAGTTAAGGTCTTTTTATCGAAAACAACCATGATTATGGAGAGAGAGAGAGAGAGAGAGAGAGGGGGGGGGGGTTCGCGCCCACTCGACATAAACTAGGTCATTTCGGGACTAACATATGGTTCAATTTTATTTAAATAATTCGCCTGTGCGTAGTGGTCTTTAGCAGTGGGAGGAAACCGGAGGACCCGGAGAAAACCCACGGGGCTGGACAGGCAACCCTACTCCTTGTCACGTACAACCGGGAAATCGACACAATGACAGACCTTATGATACAGCCCGCACGCGCTAACTCTTCAGACACCCACCCCCACCCTCAACCACGATTATGGTGCACTGGTGATATATCTGAGCGGTATTTTAAAAACAAAAACAAGCGAACTCTAGATGTTCCACAAACTAGAAACTCAATCTTTTGGTACAAAAGAGGAAAATGATCCAAGCAGTTCCGATCCAAAAGACAGGATCCGAGATCTTTGAGATATAAGTATCTGTTTTAAGTTTTATCAAAATCGGATACAAATTGTGATCTCTAAAGGGCCCACAATATAAAAAAAAATATATAAAAAATTACTCTGGTGAAAATTCGCAAAACTAAATTAAATTAAAAGTTCTATGGCTGAAAATTAAGATTGACATCGGTGATTGGAAAAACTCAATTGAATTATTTTTTTCCGTCCCTGATCAGAAATCCATAGCCTCTTACAACTTGTATTACATTTTTGCATTAACCGGGCCAATAAAGACGGACATACGTCACACAGTGTGCTATGAGGGAAACATACGTCATATCCATAGGCGTAGCCGTGAAATATATACTCAGCCAAATTAAAAACTTGACACTGATGAATTTCAACAAAAAATTTTTCTGGTAAGTCAAATAAATTTTAAAGTGTTTCTAACGAAAGTAAGTAGTAAGAAGCCTTTAATTTCATAAAATTGTAAAGTCACGTGGATCACGTGACTTTTGAGCATATAAAGATGAAAAACACATGCAAACACAAACTCGTGAGGTCAATCGATGCAAGTTTGCTTAAACTGAACACGCACACGTAACTTGAACTGGAAAAACAAATTAAAATTGTTATTTTCATCTTTGTTAGAAAATGCCGCGCCTTTCAAATGTAGAACGTCTACGTGCTATAGACAGGCTCTATGCTGGTCAGTCTATGGTCACTGTTGCAAGAGCCTTTAGTTGTTCACGCCAGACAATAATTAATCTTAGAATGAGAGTGCTTCAAACTGGAACTATTGCCGACCGCCCAAGGGCGGGAGCGCCACGTGTGACGTTACTCCAGGAAGATCAAGCAATACGATTACGTCATCTTAGAAACAGATTTGTCACAAGTAGAGAGATGTTTGGTGGAAGGGTAACTGCACAAACTGTTCGAAGTCGCTTACAGGCTGCTGGTCTTCGAGGAAGGAGGCCCTATAATGGACCAATATTGACACCTCTTCATCGCCGTAACCGACTTGTGTGGGCCACAAGACACATAAGATTTACTCAAAGACAGTGGAATTCGGTTGTCTTTAGTGACGAATCTCGATTCACTTTGAGATTTGCCGATGGCAGGGCCCGAGCGTACCGCAGACGAGGTGAACGTTACGCTCAAGTATGCGTCAGAGAAGTTGACCGATTTGGTGGCGGCAGCGTCATGGTTTGGGGTTGTTTTTGTGCACATGGACGTTCTCCTCTTGTTGTTGTCCAAGGGAACTTAAATGCTGTCCAGTACAGGGATCTGATTTTACAACCTGTTCTTCTTCCGTTTATGCAGAGACATGGGCCTGGACTAACGTTTCAACAAGACAATGCTCGACCCCATACAGCAATTGCTACCCAGAATTTTTTAAGAAATGCCGGTGTCCAAGTCCTGGATTGGCCGTCGCTTAGCCCCGACCTTAATCCTATTGAACACATCTGGGACGAACTGGGTCGACGTGTTCGTCAGCAAGTGAATCCACCACTGACGTTGCAGGACCTTCAACATGCTCTTGCTGAGCAGTGGCGACGTCTTCCTCGGGTAGTGTTTACTAATGTTCTGAGATCCATGAGAAGACGTTGTGTGGCAGTACGTGACGCTAGAGGAGGCCACAACCGTTACTAAACACTTTATTCCGATTGTTCTCCAAGTCTGTGAATTTCATTTTGGGGGGTACTGTGACATCACGAACGTTATCAATCTCATGGACTTTCGGCGAGACGTATTCTTGCTTTCTGTTGATGTCAAGGTCGTCTGTGCAGCACAACATAACACTAAAATAGTTGCCTTAAAGCAAATATTAAAAATCTAGTCCCAAAAATCCCGAGTGTCAAGTTTTTAATTTGGCTGAGTATATATTGGGGGGGGGGGGGGTCCGCAAATGAAATTATATAAAATGTTGACAATCTGTGACGCCGGAAGCAGGCTGCACAGCAGCCGATGTAGCACGATAGATAGAGTGCGGGAGGGTCACCCTTCCACTGCGGGGGTTTGGGGGGGGGGGGGCGCCCCCATAAATTTTTTTTTTAAAGTTTCAGTCTTGTATAAACACTGTTTTGGCATATTTTGCGGGGTAAAACTAAAACATCACAGCAATACAATGTTTATCATGTTTAAGTCAGAGGGTGCCGTATTCATATTTTTTTTATGACTTTTATATATTGAATGTTACGTTTGAATTATGAACAACACGACAAAGAGAGTTTAGTAGGGGAATTTTTATGAGGAGGGTCAAAATAAAACAAAACTTGATCACATAACTTTAGTTTATGAGGATGCATAGTTGACAATCACCTTGTTAACTACAATACTATATACATATACACATTGACATTTACAAGAAGGTTGTATAGATATCTAAAGTATTTTGTGTATTATAAATGGATTTCAAAAAGTAAACATAAGTGTTTTAATTTGTACATTGTTTTATACAGATGTGACGCCCATGGCCATATCGTGTGCTGTGGGGAAAACATACGCCACACATTGTGCTATGAGGGACACACACGCCACACAGGGACACACACGCCACACAGTATACTATAAGGGACACACACGCCACACAGTATACTATGAGGGAAACATACGCCACATAGTGTGCCATGAGGGAAACATACGCCACACAGTGTGCTGCAAGGGACACATACGCCACAAAGTGTACTATGAGGGAAACATACGCCACACAGTGTGCTGCGAGGGAAACATACGCCATACAGTGTGCTATAGGGGAAATCATCTGTCAATTACGACTGAGATAGAGTCTGGGAACTCCTGGTTACTGAGCCAGCGCCTTACTCGCTGAGCCTCCGTGGTGTACGGAACATGACAAGCCTTAAAGGGCACGTGCGCCACTGTGTTGTAAAAAGAGAAAGCATATTACCGGGAGGAACCATTCTTACGACATTTTATTTTTCTCGTTTTAGATAGAGAGAGAGAGAAATGGGGTTTAACGTCCACATGACACAAATGAGGTCATTTCGGGACTTAACCTATGTTCCAATTTTATTTCAATAATTCGCTTGCGTGTAGGGGTCTTTAGCAGTGGGAGGATGGACAGGCGACCCTACTCCTTGTCACGTACAACCGGGGAGTCAAAACCACGCCAGTTGTCTCAATGACAGACCTTATAATACAGCGCGCACGTTGATTGGCGGGTGTAACGCTAATAC